TATATATATGTATATTATACATATATATATACATATATAACAATATTATATGTATATATATATATATATTATACATGTCCTTGGTCCGCCCACACCTGGAATATGCCTATACAAGCTTGGAGACCTTATTGATAAAGGACATAGAGCTCCTTGAAAGTTCAGAGACGAGCCGACTAAACTAGTGGAAGGATTGGGTAGCTTGTCATACCCAGCAAAGACTACAAAGGCTGAATCCTACTACTCTAGAGACGCGTAGAGAGAGAGCTGATCTTATCGAGACCATAAGATTATGACAGGGCTTGGAGAATATTGATCATAGGACATTTTTTTCACCTGCAATCCTGTCCACACCAGAGGTCACAGCATGAACTGTACAAAGAGCGCAGTCGTCTCGAATTACGGAAAAACATTTTCTCTCAGAGAGTGATTGACAGCTGGAACAGCCTTCCCCAACATGTTATTGCGGCAAAAGACTTGCCTCACATTTAAAATCGAATTAGGCCGCTATTGGACAGTTCAGGGTTTTATATAAGCGCAAGCTGCCTAACCCTTGATAGCCATACAAACACTTGATGTGATGTGTGGCTGTACAGTAAATACAGTAAATACAATCGGTCGCACAGCTTTGTCGGGCTTAGTACAAGTACATAGCGATCTGCCTTTGCTACAGCCCTTTGCTAACACACACAACATACCCAGCACGGCACAGGGGCTATGTCCGCGAGTGACACGGGGAACACAGGCTGGTTCACCACACAAAACATAAAAAAATTACAGACTGTAGGCCTACTGCGCTAACGTTATCATCGGTTATAAAATCAGAAAGGGTCAATTTCTGAATTATTGTTCCAAACTATTAAACATATAAAATGCATAGACATAGCGTTCATTCAACTACAAATAGGCCTACTACTGTAGTTAGATTATACAATCTGCTGTATGTCAATACGCTTCGCTGGCACGATCGTCCACAAAACAAGTTGATCATAGGTTACGACTACGTGATAATAATGCTTTTATCATAAATTTGCCCATATAATGCTAACTTACAAATGAAATGTCCTTCCACATTCCTTAACCTGCTGGTTAGTGCAGTTTATGGCTGCACAGGATGGCATTCTCTAACAAATAAATCTAAAATGTTTTTCTCGAGACGCTAGAGTTGCTTATAATTATTGCTAGCAGACGTTCGCAGCTAGATCGGATCCCTTCTTTCATACGAATGGTAACATAAGAATTAATATAATTGGTAGAATAGGCTCCGACTAGCTAGCATGCATCGCTGACGCATTTTTCGTGTATTTCTCGTTCCCATAGCTCATATCCATATTTATATAATCTCTTAAGTATGGATCAAAGTTTTTTTTCATGCTAATTTGAATAATAGAATAAGTCGCGTTTTCTTATTATTCATTTGAAATGTTGTGGGGCACAGACCGGCAGATTCAGCTTTACAGAGTGGTTGGAAGATGGCGCTCTTGCGTCACTGTCATGTTAAGCGCGGATAGGCCAATGCTCTATCCAGATTATATTATAGAGATCAGTGCAAAAAATACCTGAATGTCCTTTGCAAGTAAGTGCTGCCACCTGTCGGTGACACCGCATTGTGAAGTCGGCTGCTCGTCTTAAAGGGACAGTAGCCTCTAAGATTTTACTGCATACAACTGTACTTACTGTATAACAAATCGTCTATACCCACACGTATTTGTTACCAGATACCCAATTTAATTGCTATAATTATTTACACATCAACGCTACGAAATTTGAACGGCGCCATGACACCCGCGACCGTGGTGCCATCCCGAAAAAGTTGCGTATTTGACAATTTATTTTGCAGGTTACAGACCGAGGGCTAATCACAAAAGTGCAATTATATTTATACCTATAAATGCTATTTAACCGAACGATATATATTCATTTTAGGGCAAATTTATCTATATTATAACTGAAACTATATGTCGTTTATAAGATATTACAATCCTTTTGCTTTTAAATGAATAAATAAGAAATACCCTCGGTCTCTAACTTGGCTGGAAAGTGGTTTTGCGCAACTTATCAGATCGTGCGCTTTGAGTGGCGCCACCGTCGTTGTAATCAAACTGTAGTCGTTAGTTTTAAAACATTTTTTAATAATATTTCTAATGGTGATTGAACCATGAAACTTTTTATGTAGCGTAATTATAACCTAAATTAGCTGAAAATAACCCTAGAAACCAGAGTAAACTCTCCCAGCACTTGGTCTCTTGAAAACTTTGGTTTTAGTACTGGAACCACAATACTAGAAAATTCTATAGAACATTTATATACTGTACTATATACCATTCCAAAATTCGAAAAATTCCAAAACGTGTCTGCATGGTCCCAAGGGTTTCGGATAATAGATTTTGTACTGTCAGATCACATAATAATTATATCATATGATATGATATACTATAGCTATAGTACTAGAGCTAATGATATACGGGCTCTAGCTGGTACGGGTACTGTATATTACAGGGCTCCCTCTTGATGTTTATTTTTTAGCCACCAATGAAAGACTATACTATATAGCCACTGTTCACTTTATCGTATGTGCTACGCAAGGCATAAACACAGTTGATGGGTATGGGAAAGGAGGTGTACACATTTTTTTTACGACATGAGACTGCAATTTGACGATTTCATTATTAGCTCATCTGACGTAGTCAGATGCAGCTTGTAGAATCGCATGATCGATCGTCCGTCCGTGCGTCCGTCAACAGTTGGGCACAAATCTTAACCGCTCGACGTACTACGGGGCGCCATGCAGGACAGGCATTTTTGTACCTATAAACTTGACAAAAATGAGTTTTGTGAACACAAAACTCAATT